TGATTTGAAAAAAAAAGCAACGATGAGATTTATATTGCATTATAGTTCGACCATAAAATCTGGAGAATTTTAGCGCATCCAATAAATATTCAAACACTAATAATTAGGTATCTATAGTTTATCAGAATCCGTACAGAATACAGCTCGATTGGTTATATAAGCTAATTTACTTCGCTATAACTTCTCTTCCTCGTACTTTGTATAGCTCAGTCTAATGATGTAGCCTATGGGCGATGTAAATACCTATTGAGGCCTATAAGACTATAAATAATTCTTATACAACTTTATGAGTAGAAAAAAAAATTAAAAATGCTCTAGTTTTTAAATCTTAAGGTGGTTCATGGTAAATAAATGACTAAAAATGTTTACCACCTAATTGTTACTTATTCCAGGCTGGTCAAAAATACCACTATTTTTCAAAATAATTAAGAAAACTAACAAAAATTGGAATATTTTCGCAACACTAATTTTTGTGAATAAATATGAGAATAAGTCCAAATAACTGTGAGTTATAGACTATTTAATATTATCTCGATTTAATCTATTAAAAGTTAAAAAAATCTAACCCCGGTTGTATAGTTTTGGAGTGCATTTCATGCAAATCCGTTGTTCAATGTACGCCTAATCTTCGTATACAAAGATATTATAATTATATATTCATATATATAATACTCTGTACTTACGTTTACGTATAATATAGTTAATGGAAATAGAGGTGCCAACTGCTAATATTGTATAGGTGCCTATCTTACTTTTCTCCCCCAAATATTCCACAGAGGTAAACAACTATTAGCAGCTATAAATTGGAGATAAAATATCATTAAATCACTTGGTTAATTTTTTGAATTACTACAAATTTAACAAATTTACTTCTAAATTTTTCATAAACGTAGATATAGCCTGGTTGTACATCATATCTCTATTCGAATTATTCGATACATGATTACATTATGACCATTATGTTTATGTTTACTTATTGGTTCCAGGTATACCTAACATTTGCAAATAATAAATAATAAAAAATATATTAAACGTAATTTTAGTAGCGAACATTATATTCAATTTTACGTCATTGTGGTGCGTTTTGTAAAGTGTAGGTAGGTATATATACTATATATGTCAAATTACAAAATATCAAAATATAAACTGTATCTTGTAAGCACGCGACAATGTAAAAATTGAACTTTTCGACTTTAAATCAAGGGCAAACTTAAATAGAGGACTTTTATTTTGTTTTTAATATTAAATTAAAATGTATTCTGGTACAAAAATGTTATTATTATTGTTGCTATAGTCTATCTATTGAGCAGTGTTGAAATATTTAATACTTGTTTCTGTGTCACAATATAATTGCTACAAAAAATACTAACATATAATTTATTCTAGCCAAAACCTTAAAAGTACCAATGGGCAATGATTATGGTTGCCTACAGGAAATTTATCATGAGGGCACTAAAATCAAACAGTAAATAGTAGGTTATGATTGAAAAAACATTGAAAAAAAAAAATTATACTTAAGTCAAAATATCGTCGAAATATTTATTTAAACAATAATGAAAGTTAAAATGTTCAAAATTATATTTAAAGTCCAGTAGAGAGCAAATTCTTCATCTTGCTCCCACCTTAAGTTTTAACCACCAAGCACCCATGCCTATTATAAACGTAAACTTATTATAAAATATAGATGTAATGTATGATTATGCAGATTATAGTAATTCGCAGTTTATAATAATAATATATTAATATAACATCCGAATATCCGATATACGAAGTTGAATCCGATTGCTGTTCGTCTTATCGATGCTTCAAGTTATGGTGGAGCCAAACAAAAGCCCGGCCCAACTGAATGTGTCAAACCGCGATTTCGCTGATCTCCAGAGGTGACTTTTGAGTTTAATACCGAAAATTGCATAGCAAATAAAGTTTAATGTAGTGGAGATCGAGGGCGACTCGACGCCGGTTTCAAGTTTTTGACCAAGCAAATATAGCCTGATAAGACTACGTAGGCTTACGTGGTAAATTATTTCGGTGTATTAAATTGTTCGTGTATTAAAAGCAAATATTTTTTAGTTTTTTCTTTATTCCAATTATAAAGAAAAATATATAAATAAATAAACAAAAATAGTGAATTATAATAACTATTACTGAGCAGGTATCATCTATGCGACTAAGTACGCATATATTATTGTTTATTACCTATATTTTATACGCACAATGACATATTCAACTTAAGGTTTAATGAAAATATTAATTTAACCTACCTTATTACTACTATTAAAATAAATTATTACATTTAAAATATAAATATATTTTAAAATATATTTATTAATAGAGGGCTGATGTCTGCAGAGTCTTCGATCAGAATCGTTTTTTATATGCAATGATTTATAATGGTGAAGAGCGTAGTGTTTATCCACAGTTGTCAGTTACTAATAATTAGTACTTCGGTTAAGCATTATTCGGTGTTGTTAGCTTCTGAAATTTTGGATGGATGACTAGTGACCACCTGCGCTCTTATAATGATGAAACTCTGTTTTACTCATAGCTTTTACAAATTTACGTCTACCGTTACGAAAAATCCACACTTGATATAGTCATTGGTAGTTGCCAAAGCTTTGAAAATAGTTTCAAAATAATTATCACGCTTTATTTCTAACTATTTTAATGTATAATGATAATAATAATTATGTACCTACTAGATGAGAATATAATACATATTATTAAATATTTTGAAGTCTTAGTTAAATTAAAATACGTACTTAGAACTTATACTCTATATCTTGTAAATTCTATAATTATAATAATTGTATCATATATTATATAATAACTCTTTCTCTAACACAAGCTTTGCTTAAAGGAGAAAGATAATCGAAAATGTTACTTTATAATAATGTATGTATTTATGTCTTTCGATTTTTATAATAAAAAAAAAAAAAATTTAAAAATTTGAGTTTTATATACAAAATAATTTGCAAATTTTCTTTATTTTAACGAATTACAAGTAATTATCAAAAAAAATTGTGTAAATGTACTATGTGTATCTGGTAATTTAGTCATTTAAAAAATTTAAATTGCTATAAGACCTTATATAAGAAGGAACTTCGAGTTACATTTTCTGTTTTTTAACAGAAAAAATCATTATGAAACCTCTAAAAGTTATTAATAAATAAGAGTGGTTTTTAATTTGTTACAAATTTAATAGGTATTTCAGATATTTGTATTAAATTATATTTACAGGACCAGCTTTAACTATTTCAACGTCCACTACAAGAATTATTATGGCAATCCTTATTAAACATATAAACAGGTAGAATAGGAGGACTTTTTACTCGTTTTTTTTTTTAATTTTGGGGCACTGTGTATAGAATGAGTCAATTGTATCTGACCCTATCCTGCACATTTATTGAATTTAACATATTTAGGTATGACTGTTTAAAAAAATATCAAGTAAAATAGGTTATCGAAATATCAGTGTTCAACAAACACCTTCTAATCAAGTCTAGCTCCATAGTTTGCTAAGGCATTTTTTAGATGTCGTTTTTAAATCAATAAGTTTTGAAGAAAAATAATGTATTCATGAAAGTTACGATTCCAATCGGTAACTAACTACACGCAATTGTTCTATTAAATTGGGTAGTTCAATCTAATTTTATATTCAATTATTTTGAACTAATTTGTTTAGATTCTAATACAATTTGCATACAGTATTTTAATACCTACTTTCAAATCGCACAGAAGCATAGATTTTATGTTGGTGATTAAAGTTAAAATAAATTTAGTTATTTTTGTTTCATAAAATAGTATTTATTTCGAATTTTTGTTCAAAAAAAAATTTTAACTGTATCTGTTTATCACTGAAAATTATACCTAACAATATGAATAATTATATAGTTTTTATTTTAATTAAATACTTCATACTTTGTGAATCACAGATACCGGATAGACCTTCAGCAAGTATGAATAAATTTAAGTATGTCTTTACTCTATTTTTGAATTAAATATATTTGATAAAAAATATTAAACATATTTTACATTTGTAATTGTTTCAAAAGTCCTTATGGAGAAATAAAATGGAATTCTGAGTTTGAAAATTTAGCTGTAGATATAACATACAAATGGAGAGATACGGCCACCTGCTTGAATTTAATACTTGACCATTTTCATGATGGTATATTAGATAAAGTATTTTATAAAGCTATTGCTGGAATACCTTTATTTAAAGTAATATAAAAACAAAATAGCTTATATTACATATTTATTTAAATTATTAATTTTTTGAAAATAATTTATAGACATTAGTTGATGACTCAGAAGATCTAATGTCTCCAAATTTTCAAACCTGGCAAATGTTAAATAATGTTAGAAAAGATGGATGCAATATGAATATAATATTTATCCTAAATGCTGATCAAACAATGAGATTACTAAAATTTAGTGATAAGTAAATGATTTATTTAAAAATTTGATTTATAAGTAGGTATTCTATTGATATTAGTGTATTAGTTACCAATGCCTAACTCGAAGTAGGTATTTTTATGAATAAACTATAAATGTAATAGTATTGATAAAATTTGTTTGAATTTCAATTTAACAAGAGTGTTTAACACTTATAGCCACATAGTATAGATATTATTTTAACAAATGTTTTAAATTATTATTGCATTAATTGATGGTGATAACACTAATATATTTTTATACAACTTAATACAGCAGAAAAATATTTTTTAATAAGAAAAAATCAAACTTACTAAATAGTAACAAGTTAAAAATAATAATAAAATGTAAGCTGTAGATTGTGATTATCTAATATCCAAAAAAATTAAATTTAGACAAAATAAAAAATAAAAATCAATTTATGGAGACACTCTTTATATAAAAAAAAATGTATACAATAAATTCTGATAGATTGGAATACCTATTTAAATTATATCTAAACCAAATATATACTTTATTAAATATATAAAGTGCAAACACAATAACTAAATGAAAAATATACTATAAAGTATTACAAAATTTTCAGGAACAGAATGTTGGATTTTACGACTAAATTTATGTTATTACATGATCGTAGACTTTTCACAAAGCAACATCATACTATATGGACAAAAGTTATAAATGTTGTATTTATTAAAAAATATCGTTTTAAAGAGATATATGAATTATCAACTGTTCCATATCCTGCACCAATCAAAGGGGCATTGGTTACACTGAGGCTAGATATATGGAATAAAAGAAATTTTCAAAAAAAAACTGACTTATACATAGACAAAGTTTCAGATCTACAAGGAAATTTACTTAAAGTAGTAACTTTTAATTACATTCCATCTGCAATAAAAAATTCATTAATGAATGAAAATGATGAAAATTCTGGCTATAAGAAGGGCTTAGAAATTGAGGTATAATTATAAAAATGAATAAATTCTATAGTTAAATATTGTAATTTGTTGTTTTAGGTTCTTAAATCGCTTGGAAGTGCAATGAATTTTATTCCAGTTATATATGAACCAATAAATTGGCGTACTGAACAATGGGGTAAAAAGCAAATTAATGGAACTATATCAGGGCTGTTAGGAGAAGTATGGTCTGCCCGTGCTGATTTGGCACTGGGTAATTTACATTACACACCATATCATCTAAATATTTTAGATCTATCTATACCTTATAATACAGAATGTCTAACATTCTTAACATTTGAATCAAAAACAGATAACTCATGGAAAACTTTGATTCTTCCTTTCAAGTAAAAATATTTAATAAATTATATTAATAAAAAAGTATTTACACTTGATTTCTTTTAGATTAAATATGTGGGTTGGCGTACTTTTTACACTTCTAATTGGAGGCTTTTTATTTTATGCTTTTGCAACAGCTCATAAACATATTGAAGATAGTGAAAATTCAATTAAAATTATACAGTGTGATAATCAAAAGACAAAAATATTAAAAAATAAACCTGAACTATTAACAGAAAATAAAACAAATAAAAAAATTACAGACATTTTAAAACATAAAGTTAAATATCCAAAAATAATCAAACAACAAAAATGTATCAACAACCAAACAAAAAATAATGAGTTTAATCAATTTATGAACAAAGATGTAACTGGGTTATATTTGTTTGAAGATATAGAGAATAGTATTTTATATACTTATGGAATGTTGGTAGCTGTATCATTACCAAAAGTACCCAGTGGATGGGCTATAAGAATTTTAACAGGATGGTGGTGGATATACTGTTTATTAGTTGTAGTTGCATACAAAGCTAGTATGACAGCAATATTAGCTAATCCAGATACCAGGTTATAAAATTATTTTAATAATTATTATTATCATTATATTTTAAAACATTTAACAGGATTACAATTGATACATTGGATGCTCTTGCTGATAGTAATATAAATTGTGGAGGATGGGGAGAACAATCAAAAGAATTTTTCATGACATCACTAGATAAAACTGGACAAAGAGTTGGTCAGAAGTTTCAAGAAGTTTATGAAGTAGATAAAGCTATTGATTTGGTGTCTAAAGGACAATTTGCATACTATGATAATATATACTTTTTGAGATATGTAAAAATGATGCAAAATATCAAAACATATGAACAAAATGTTCAATTAATTAATGGTATACAAAAATAATAATTTTTTATAAATTATTTTGCCATGTTAGTTTTAAATGTTATAAGCGTTTTATTAAATTAAATTTTTAAATAATAATCTAAAAATCTTTCCTAAATTGTATTAAATAATTTAAAAAATCATTAATCATTAATAAAAACTTCATTTATAATAATTCTAATTACTTTATTTAATACAAATTAATAATTATAATGGAGACTAAAGTTTTAGTGAATTAACAGTATAATCTATAATATTAATACCAATTACCAATTTATATAATTTTGTTTAAGGTACACTAAATGATACAAAAAATGGAGACTTTACACTGCATATAATGTCTTCATGTATAATAAATATGCCAATATCATTAGGATTACAAAAGAATTCTCCGTTAAAGCCAGCAGTTGACAGATTCTTGAGAAGAGTTATAGAAGCTGGGTTAGTAAAAAAATGGTTAAATGATGTCATGTCAGACACAGTGATACTCGAAGAACCACAGCAAATTGAAGAAGTTAAAGCACTTATGGACCTTAAGAAACTTTATGGGGCAATTGTTATTTTGGTTGCTGGGTATATTTTAAGTATATTAGTTTTGTTAATTGAAATTGGTTATTGGTATGGGGTGGTAAAAAAAGATCCACTTTATGATGAATATTCATTAAACTGCTATTATACACATAAATAAAAGGAAATAAGTATAATACTATTCTATGATTTGTAACATAATATTATATTGTTGAATGATTTTGAAATTATAATTACTTCAAGAGTTAATTAAAAATAGTAATATACATTATTAAAAATACAAATGAAAATATAGTGGTTCTACCGCCGTTTGAACCCATATTTTTTCCGTTCGTAAAATAGATCTGTTTTTGAACTTCCCAAGTTTACAATTTTTGGACATCCATCTCTCTAAAATAATTGAAACATTATGAATTTTATTAATAAAACTTATGATAAAATTTGAAATATAACTTACATCTTTTTCTTGAACTGTGCATTCCTTACAATAATATGCATCTGATACACCAGGTCCACCGCATATAACACATCGGCCCTGGTATGAGCCATAATTGCACTCATCACATATGCGTACTAATGTACATGGTCTGACATATGAGTCACATATTACACATTTACCATCACATTTTTCACATAATCGTCCTATGGCTGTTATAAGGTATGTATTAAATAAACAAAAAAGTGTATAACATAGTAATATATTAGACTTAGATGTGTAAATATTAAAAATATTATACACTATAGTACTATACTTACCGACGCCGGGTTGCTTACGACAAAATATCAAGTCTGGATGATGTTTAGCCATCGTATTAGATTTAAACTACTGCTTAACGTCAAATAATTTAAATATAAAAACCAATAAAAATGAAATATTGGTTAGACTTTGCCGGCTTGACGGTAAACCGGGTAAACCACGATTCAGAAGTAAACTAATCAGTTAGTCTTAGTTATCACAATTCATAATCACACCAAACGACCAAACATCCGTCATCCAAACAATAATTTTATCTTTAAATGTCAGTGTAGCCAAAGTAAAACTGTACGATTGAAAATAATAAAAAACAGAGTAACCAGGTTAAATAAACTTTATGTGTCATAAATATCAAAATCCAGTCTTTTAAATTTTAATTACAATATAGCCATTATGGGATAATGCAATACATTATTATAAATGTATTATAGTATAATATTACTATATATTTTATAATCAGCACTAATTATTAAAATTCAATAGTTCCATGAATTGTTTGTTACAATTTCAGATTATTTTTATACATTATACATTTATATCCAAACTTCTCAATATACCTACTGCAACAGTAATCTTATATTATAATCTTATATTATAAAACGTAACTAATAAATTATAATTTAAACGTATTTAACCTAGGTATATAATAATTAAAATGTTTATAATTATTATTTATTTTTATTTTAGGTATTTATTTTAATCAACATACAATAAAAAAAAAAAATAATGAATCATATTGTATATTGTCACGTTACATAATATTGTACATACTAGCAGTCCATTAAATAGGTACTGGAAATTGGCATACTGTATCATTATTGCAGTTGAATCTCGATAACTTAACTCAATTTTGTTTTTGGTTAACAAAAATACCGGTATATAATAAATCCTGTACAAATCGATATTATACAAACTTTAAACTCAAAACTCGAGTTTATTTTGTTTTTCCTCGAAATATGAGTGAGAATACTGAGAATTGAGAGTACGTCTGTGTTAGGTGTTAAAATTAAAATTAATTATTATTTACATATATGACTTAGGTTATTATTACCTATCCGTATATATATATAAAATATAAATACATAACACATATATAAGAAGTCATAAAGCATACGCACCTCCTTATATATAGCTCTATATATTTATGAAGGTTTTAAATGTATTATTAAATCGTATGTATGAAAGCTAAATCAATCAAAACATTTTTGAGTGAAATAAAAAAAATTCAACTTCCGCTTGAGAAATGATGATGCTGTAACTAAAATTAGTACTATTATAATAATATAATTAAACATGTAACAATTACTGTAATTATAGGTACATATAGTTGTAGTTATAAATGATTAAACTTATATAATGCAAGCAATATTGGAATTTATTAGCTTAAACAAATTATAAAACCATATATATGATCAATTTTGGTATTTCATGAAGTTTCTGTGCAGGAAATTTTTTGGACCTACAGACATAACTAGCGATATCCATGAAATCTGGTGAAATTCTATATATTCGTGGATATACATATACTGGTTACTGCAGGATCGTGAGTAAATTCAGTAAACGCACAACACCTATATAAAGTCGGTCAATTCATAGCTATATACGTAGGGGCGGACTGGACCGACGGGCGGGTGGGTGATCACTGATCGCCCTCTGAGCTGTTAGGATTTTTGGTCTTACGATAATAGATTACGATAATAATTGTATATTTTAGTTGAAAATTGAAGACATGAAATTTTTTTTCAAATTGTATGTTGCAAATAGACCAAATGACGATGATCGAATAATTGGGAATGAGGAAAAGTCACTTATTCTTTCTGTCTAGGCTAATAATATTAAGACATGTATGCTGGTATAATGCTATTTTACTATTTCTATAATACTATAACACCTGAGCGGCTGGGCCTTAATCTATGATTGCCCGGGTCGATTTTTTACGTCAGTCCACCCTTGGTTATAAATCGGGCAGAGGACTTGTAGCTCTAAAAAATCACCTGATATGCACTTAAATATACAAAATATGCATTACAAATATGCACTTAAATATACAAAATATGCATTTTAAAATGAATATTTTTGAACGGGTGCCAGTTAAAATCGCGAAAGTCAAAATCGCGAAAATAAAACAGCGAAAATAATATCGGACAATTGATCTCAAAATAACATATTGTAGGGGGCCATTGACTCCAGGGAAGAGGAGTCGCGATTAGGGCCATAAAATCTATTTCTATTTCATAATACCCCGATAACTTGCGCGAACACCACTAATAAAAAAAAAAACAAACAAATGCATTATACAGTTAAAAGTGGTTATTAACAAACGATCAATCTAATCAGTAACTTTCGAGACGTGTTTCTAAAAAAAACATGCGATTGTGAAAAGTCAACAATCATATTAATTTAATATTATGATCAAATATTAAAATAATTTTAAATCCAATGTTATTTTAATTGTATAAATAAATAAATAAATAAAAACGTCGACAAAAAATATTGATAAAATGATAAATTATTTAAAATATGCACCTAAAAGTATTAAATGGAAGAAATATGCCCTAAAACCAAAAAAAACGCAAAATATGCATTTATATGCACAATAAAATTTCAAAACTAGCTTTGTGGAAGCATGAAACGCATTGGTTTCGCACTCTGCTATTTTTGTGACTATGCAAAAAAAATATGCAAATGCTACAAGTCCTCTGCCCTAAATTTTATAAGTCATCTATCGTATCATGTCATGTCTTAAAGTTGAGCTCGTCCTAATTCATGGTACATTATGTTTAGTGAATGATATCATGATTATAACAGCCTATCAGAATATATGGAATATCAAGGAACATGACACGACGGATGACGTAGTTGTATAAGCTGTGAACCCGGGTCTTAAACCGAACTTAGCCAACGTGAATTGCACTGTTCATTTTGCATATTATGCGCGGTAACTGAGGGCAGTATCATGACTATTACGATTTACGAGTATTAATATTTGCAATATTCTTTAGGATTAATCTTAGGAAATATAAAAACGGATTAAAGCATCCGTTTTTTGATGTTGATCTTGTATAAAACAGTTTTTGCATCGCTATGGTCTACGAGTATCTAAGCACGAGTATATAAGTGAAACCTTTTAACAGCGGATACTTTCGGTTACCAAAATTTTGTCTGCTTATGAAATACATAAAAGGTAGTAAACGTGTCAAAGGAAAAAATATTTACTAGATTAAATTTAATTATGTAATTGTTATTTATTTTAATGTTTTAATGATTTAATAATTTAAATATTTTAACAATGCACGTTTAAATTAATTTAAAATAAGGAATTCATCTATACATAATTATAATTCAATTTGGTGTGAAAAATCAGTTTTGAACGAGTTTATTGACGTCATACTAGTATAGGCGCGTTTTCTGTCGTCGTTTCATCATTATTTTTAAATTAAAATTAAAAACAAGCCGCTACTTGGATATTTCGTTATTGAAAAGTGGTGAAAATGTTCGTTATTGGGAAGTATCCGTTAGGGGAGGTTTCTTTGTATATATATATATATATATACATATATGTTAACAATAATTATAAATCATATTTACGAATATAACTATTTATCATTAATGATATTAGTTAGTAGCCCATAGTTGTAGCAATATATACAGCGTAAAAATATTCATAGTGAAACAAGTTTATTTTACAGAAGTTACAATTTACTTGTGCAGTTTTATGTATATTCGTGAACCCTATAATATTTCTGCACTACAATAAATAATCCGTCTTTGATAACATTATTCACAGGCTCTGTGCAGGAATAGTGTATAGGCAGTTAAGAAATTTATGAGTTATTAAAACCAGTCACGTATACACAAAACAAAGATAGGTTAGCGTTAAAGGTTCAATACCCTTAAATTGATTTTTTTTGTGTTTAAAAATTAATATACTTTTGCTACAATGGCCTAGGCTCTAATTAAAAAGTAGGTACACTCAAAATTTACTATGCAACAGAAGTGAGTATAACCCAAAATTTGTTTAATATTTTAGTATAATATAGTCGCATAGGTATTAGTTAGTTATATGCATAGAACATAGGTATTAGTCAGTAGTATAGACAGTATACTCAGTATATAGTATACAGTGTTTACTGTATAAACTATGTACGTAGTGGTTGTAGTGCTTTAGTTGTATGTATACCTATCGTTGATTGAAATAATACAAATTATATTATTTGACGTTGAAGATAAATTTTTCTCACTCAATTGTTTATATAAATATTTTATTATTCGATCACTTTCAGTAGACTAAATGAAGTTATTTAATTAGTCCCATTGTAGTAAAATGCCTTTAAAATTTTAACATATCACAATTCACAAACCCCATGCATGCCTATATTTTAAAGAAAAACTTTGTGAATTGTAAATAATTTTAGAAGACCAAATATTTTCAGGATCCAAAATTATAATACATGTTTTTTACAATTATCCCACATTTTATTATTAAAATGAGTAAAAATTATGGGTAGTCGCTATGCTATACCGCAGTAGGTCATGTAATCATGTTGAGTGTACTTATTCATCATTGAAAAGTCATTGTAATGTACTCATATGCGTTAAACTTAAATTCAATGGAGCAGTCGATCATTGCAAATGAAGAATGATTCTGAGAGAAGATGCTTTATCAGCAATCATTAATATTATTATTTGATATCGCTACAATGCTATTAAAGTCATTTATTTTACTATTTTTACTACAGTATAGGATGATTTAGTTATTTCCGAAAACATTGCTTTTTTATTTTATTATTAATATTAATTACTATTATAATTTATAATACTTACATATTTATTATTTTATTAACTTTTGAGTCAATACTACTTTATTGTATAGAACGATATAAATAAATAATAGTTTAAAATTATTAATGTTAATAATTTGAACAATTACCTAGTTCAAAAAAATAATATAATATATTATGTAAAAATCCCCACAAATTATATTTTTGAATAACAACAAAATAATTAAAATTGATTTGTTTGCTTAAAAATATTAAATTTGAATTTAATTAAAAAATTATTTTTAGATTTTTTGTTTACAAATAAACTACCTATAAGGAACATTATATTAAATTATTAAGCCTATTATTAGATATAAAAAGTGAACATTTCACGAATATTTAGCTTTAAAAGTTTAAAACA